GTATCATGATTTTTGAATTCTTGGCATTGGTGACACTGCAAACATTAGAGGCAAATACACTTCTTCCTAATGGGGTGTGGATGAAGTGTAAGCAGCAAATTTGGCCAGCTCTCTTTATTTGTATCTTAATCAGGCCAGCTGGAATCCAAGGTGATGCTAAATGCAGAATTAATTACAAGTGGAAGAGTGTGATTGGAATGGTAAGCGGCGGCTACTACTTAGTGTCTGAGAGGGAAGCTAAAGCCAAAACTCCAACTGGAAACAAGGCAGATCAACCTTTCTATCTGAGAGTTACACATGCACTACTGCACCAGATAGATGACTCCCTGGGAAGCGTCCCATCTAACAGGTGATTATTGTGTCCTGCAGGACCCCCCCTTGTCCTATGAGCTCTGTTAGCTGTGTCTCGGTCAGTCAGATGTTTTCAGTGGGGCGTATGCAGAGTCTGTTGGACCTTGTCATTCCAAAGCCAAGATCTTCCACGTTCACTGTAGCAATTGTGGGAGCCTGCAGGATTCTCTGTATCAACCAGCTGTCGTCAGAGAAACTTCAGCAATCAGTTTGTTCAATGTCTGTACCTCAGGAAAAGACTTTGGGCGACCAATGCCTGTAAAATCAATAGAGGTAACCAAAGGTATGTCTCCACTGCAAATCAAGGTGTAACTGCAGCACGGGTAGGTGTACCCTCATTAGCTTTCATCTAGCTAGTTTGGGTAACAGTAACAGTGAAGAAGCCCTGGCACAGGTTTCAGTGTGGTTATCTGCCCCATTTTCTCTCCCGTTTTTTAGCCAACTGTAGGGCTGGTCAAAATGTGTTCAATTTTGAATTTCATTGATCTTTCAAATAAAAAAAATATCAGGGTAAATACTTATCTTTGCATTTACTGGTGCGAAGGGAGCTGCAGAACTACGGTTACATGAAGCAGGCTTGCCGAATGTGAACCATCCAAGGTCCTCACACCACCCAGCCTAATCTCTGTGAATTCTCTCCTTCCCAACCTTGTTCCTTTAGGGGCTTACGTTGCTGAATCATTTTCTTGGAAACAATCCAGTTTGACAGATTGAGACATTACCAGTGGCTGAGGGTTTGTGTTGTGCAGTTGCATACTCTCTCTCTTTGGGGGAAGCACAGTGCTTGATACACTAAAAGTTTCTAGTCTCCCAACCATAGAGCTACTTTAGTGTCAGGTCATGGAGCAATTTGCTTCTCTGTTCAGCCGTGCAATCCATTATTCTTGGCTTTTGGCTAAGGGATTCTTCCAAGAAAGAAAGGAGAGAGCAAAGCACAATAATTACAAAGGCTATTAGGGAAGGGTAGTCTGAATACTAAATCTATTAATAGCAGAAACATTGGTGTTATTTGGCCAATAAAATATTGCCTGAGAGTCATCTTGGGTGAGTGACGGGACTTCCCTATTGCAGTGCAGTCTGGTGTATCGCTCGGGCCCCAGAGCCAGTCAGCCAGGAGAAGAAGGGTAAGGAAAGGACGGGGCAGGTGACTTGACGATCTGTACTGAGGCAAAAGAGGTTCACATGCCCTGCTTTCAGACACACAGAATCATAGAACTGTAGGACTGGAAGGGACCTCGTGAGGTCATCTAGTCCAGTCCCCAGTACTCATGGCAGGACCATCCCTGGCAGGTGTTTGTCTAAGCTGCTCTTAAAAATCTCCAATGATGGGGATTCCACAACCTCCCCAGGCAATTTATTCCAGTGCTTAACCACCCTGACAGTTAGGAAGTTTTTCCTAATGTTCAACCTAAACCACCCTTGCTGCAATTTAAGCCCATTGCTTCTTGTCCTATCCTCCGAGGTTAACGAGACCAATATTTCTCCCTCCTCCTTGTAACAACCTTTTATGTATTTAAAACCGTTATCATGTCCCTTCTCAGTCTTCTCTTCTCCAGACTAAACAAACCCAGTTTTTTCCAGTCTTCCCTCATAGATCATGTTTTTTAGACCTTTTATCATTTTTGTTGCTTTTCTCTGGACTTTCTCCAATTTGTCCACATCTTTCCTGAAATGTGGCACCAAGAGCTAGACACAATATTCCAGCTGAGGTCTCTAAGCAGCACAGAATAGAGCAGCAGAATTACTTCTCGTGTCTTGCTTACAACACTTGGGGCATGGGAGGAGGGTGTGAACTTGAAGCAGGCTCAATATGTTTTGGGACTCAAGACAAAGTTCAGCAGAAGAAGGGGATTAAAGGAGAGAGATATAGAGAAGGAGCTTGGCCTATGAGGAGGCAGAGTTAATGTTGGGATTCCCTCCGAGACCTTTTCTACTCAGCTTATCCAGAACACCTTGTCCAGTTCTGGGAGAACACTTCATCCAGTTCTCTGCAATCCAGAACACTCAGTTCAACTCCAGATTTCATCAGTCAGGTTCCTTTATTTGGCATACAGCAAAGCTATGCGAGTTGATCAGACTCAAATGTAGGGGGTGGGAATAGGTCATACCAAAATCCAAAGTTACACAGACAACTTCTTCCTTTATATACATTTACACATTACATTGTATTTGTGCTAATCACACAATTTTGAATTGGCTTGGTTACTTTGCAGGAACCAGTCTCTCTGTACAGCCTGCTCTGTCCGTGTGATGTTCACATGAGATCTGATCTTTACATTCCCCATTTATCTTGTCGGTAGTCTCTAGCATCAAGGTGTTGCTGCTTATTTTAGCGAGCACAGACATCCTGACTCCAGCATACTGTTTGTCAAGCCCCTATTTACAACGTAGCCTTCCATTCACCTTCCCAGTTATGCCCACTAAGAAATGAGGCATGTTATTTATATCAAGCCAGGCCTGCAGTTACAGTGCAGGGGGGGGTAGCATGATGGGGTGCAAAAGCTAGGGACTGTCTAGTTCTCACCCACCAGCCATCTCTGTTAGTTTTCCCACATCTTCTTTCTTGGCAAATCACATCAGTCATTGCCAATTTCCACATGCCCCATCTCTCCCCTGTGATAAATCGCAGGGAGAGAGCCCTGAAATGTGTTTTCCATTTGAATGGGGACTAAATTATGGCAGGATCTTAAGAAATAATGAAGATGCCATGGTTCCCAACAGACCTGCCCCTTTTTACTTTAACATAATACATCCTTCACTGTTAGACCCCTCATCCCTCCTCTGCTGAAGAACAAACTGAAGTATGTGTGAAATTCACGTACACGCTTTGCTCCCTGATGACTTTATTACTCATTGCTTTGTTCCTGCACCTGCTCCCTTGCTGTATGAATTAGCTCTGCCCGAGATCACTAGTTAATGCTAGTTTTCTAGGTTCCAAAACTTATCTCCTAGCTTTTTAACCCTTTCATCCATGTAAATAAAGAGAGTTTTCTGCAATTGCTCGGGCCCATTCAGATTTTAAAAGCATCCATTAGGGCTTTAATATAAAACTTTTGTTGGATTATTATATTTTGCATTTCCATAGCATCTTCTATCTCAAGCTCTCAGACCACTTTCCCTGTAAGGCACAATCTGGCCCCAAATGATTTCCCCAACATTACACAAGAGAACCTAGGGGTGAAATTCTGGCCCCACTGAAGCCTACAACAGAACCATACTTCTCGCCCCACCAATTAGCCCTGTTCCTTGGAAATGGCTCCTAGGAAAAGGCTAAGAGCATTTCCTACATACTGCATCTAAAATTTCCTACTTGAAATTACAAACCAGTTGTCCTTCCAATATGTTGCAACAACCCACACATTGAAAAATCACTGTCAGATGCTTGCACTGTTACATCATTATTTTCTGCAAGCCAGACTAACTAGTCACTGTCATGTCATTGGAGGATGTCCCTTGAAGATTTGATTTAATAGGAGTGCAATTTGTCTCATAGGTCAGCAAAATCCATTCAGTGTGACCTACAATCTCATGTTCAGAGGGAGCTTCAGATCTTACGCAGAATGTGCAATTTCACATTTAATAAAGAAGATAAATGCTCAGCCAAAGCCATCAGCAGAGTACCACAGTGATTCCTTTAAAGGGACAGTGCTATGCTAAAAATATTGGGTCCCTACTGCCACCCACCACAAGTGGTCATTTACACGTGTGTGAAGTGGGTGTGGAACCACGGCCCAGTCAGCATCCTGCACTCACTCACTCACACTGATGGTAGCATATTACATGCACTTTGTATAGGTGTCAGTGATGCGTTCATGCACCGATCCCCTTCTTTACACACTAGTACAGTTTCCATACAGAGAGCGGTGATTCTTCAACCATATGTGCTAACGAAAATCTGTCTGTGTGGGGCCTGCTCTGCACTGAAAAGTTACATTGACATACTGTGTCAGTTAGGGGTGTGGGGAAAAACTGACGGACATACCTGTGCCGACGTAACCCACAGTGTAGACTCAGCCACGAGGGCTTCCATTGACACAGCTAACCTGGTTCAGGGAGGTGGTGTTCCTACACCTGACAGAATGGGTTTTTGGTTGGGTAGGTGATTTTACACTACAGGGCTCTGCTGGCAGAGCTATATCTGTTCTTGAAAACCTCCATGGACAGGGATTCCATATCAGCTCGATGTCCTGTCTGATGCCTTCCCTGATAAACGATGTAGCAGGTGAGTAATGTTTATGCTGTATCTAGCTACAGACTTGACTATCAAAATAATAGCTAAGGACCTGATCCCATAAAGACACTGTCACAGATCAACAGGGCATGCTAGGCCTCTGACCCTTATACAATATCTCTGGGTGTGTACCCCAGGAGTGCCTCCATTTGTTGCAGGAGGGAGCCCCGTGCCTCCACTACTCCAAGACTGAACCCTGGCTCCTGCACCTCTGTTTCTCACCATGGCTCCTTCAGTGAGCTCAAAAGAGCTTTAATTTCTGTTGGAAACTTTGCCCATGTGGGCACAGACACTGACTTTTATTTTTCCGGATGGTGTTCCACCCCCACTCTGTCCCGAAGCTCTTCCCCCACTCCGCCCCTTCCTGTGAGGCCCCGCCCTCAGTCTGCCTCTTCTGACCCTGCTCCGTTCCCTCCCTCGGCCCGCTGCTCGCTGCTCTCCACCCTCCCCCGAGCACCTCCCGCAGCCTGCCGAACGGCTATGGCTAGTGGATGCTGAGCACCCTCTATTTTTTCCCTGTAGGTGCTAAAGCTCTGGAGCCCTCAGCGCGTCGGCGCCTATGCCTGTGGAAGTTCTGCAGCCAGCTGACGTGTGCAGAGACACAGGACAACCTTTTCAAAACAAGACAGCAGTTATTGGTCAAGCGGAATACAGTATTTTGGGGTCCTTAGATTACAAAGGAACAGCAGAGTTTACAGCTATGCGGTGCTGGCAACCCAACCTGCTTCTGGTTCAAAACATCCAGGAGTCCATCTCTCCCTCTGCATGGGGCAGCAGTGCTTAGCACAATGTCCTGACACCTCATTCTTTGTGTCAAGCTCCAGTCAAGCTGGTGTCAAATACTCTGCCCCTTGACTGCCTGTCATTAAAAGTTAATATCCAATCTTTGGTTTTCCATTGTATCTCCAAGGTAACACCATTCATGTGTTGTATGCCGTGTCAGTCCCAGGATATTAGACATACTAGGTGGGTGAGGTTATATCTTTCATTGGACCAACTTCAGCTGGTGACAGAGACAAGCTTTCACGCTACACAGAGCTCTTCTTCTGGTCTGGGAAAGGAATTCCCAGTATCACAGGAAAGTGCAAGGTGGAACAAACAGCTTGTTCAGCATGAGTAGTTAGCACGTATTGTAAGGGACAGTGACAGCGTGGACTAGGTCTGAAGGCCTCGCAGCCCTGCCACACCCCGCCCCAGGAAAGGACAGTAAAGAGGTCCTCCGAGCTGCCAAGAGTGGCTGTGTGGGAAACAGCCAGTCGGGGTCCAGCAGGCTAGTATAAGAAGAGCTGCAGGGCCAGAGTGAGTTCAGTTCCTTGCTGAAGCTGGAAGAACATGGATGGTGTGCCTGGCTGGCTGAGGGAGCTACAGGAGCCTGAACAGAGCAGTGCTGGCAGAGGCCAGGGGGAACACAACCGAGTTCCAGGCTGGCTGCTGGGACTCAACCAGGACAAGGCCACAAGGTAAGGGCAAATCATGAACTGGGGCTGTGGGGAAGGGGCCCAGGGAATTGTAGCAACAACACCGATTACTTAAAAGGCTGTGGTGGATGGCTGCTATTTATAGGGTCCCAGGGCTGGGACCCAGAGTAGAGGGTGGGCCTGGGTCCCCCCACCAACCACTGGGAAAGTGGCCTGGACTTTGATACACCCTGGAAGGGGAACTGAACTCTTTTAGTGGCCCAGCTAAAGAGCTGGGGCCAGAAAGACCCAGAGAAGCAAAGAGTCTCCAGTAAGGGAGCCCTGGGGGATGTGCCCCACCCGGGCCAGGACTGCTTGAAAAGCGGGGACAATTTGAGAGATTCCCAGAAGGGGCTGAGACTGTTCGGAGCAGGGTACTGTGATAGGCTCTGCTGGACTGATTGAAGAGCGAGTCCAGAGATAGTGCTGCAGATCAAAAGACATTACTAAGGGCTTCGAGATCGGCCCGAGTTGAACTTATATCCCAGAAGGGGTTGACTTTTATTTCACATATAGACTATGTGAGATTTAGTCAGAGGGCTGAGTCAGCAAAGATGCACCACAAACTGAGCACATGCATTGCGACAGGGGGCACTAGTGAACAGGGCTGCCCAGAGGATTCAGGGGGCCTGGGGTCTTCGGCGGGAAGACCCGGCGCTTCGGTGGCGGGTCCCGGGGCGGAAGGACCCCCCGCTGCTGAATTGCTGCTGAAGACCTGGAGCGGAAGAATCTCTGGGGGGGCTGGGCCCCACGAGAGTTTTCCAGGGCCCTCAGAGCGAGTGAAGGACCCTGCTCCAGGGGCCCCGAAAAACTCTTGTGGGGGCCTGGGGCAAATTGCCCCTCCCTCCCCTGGGCGGCCCTGCTAGTGAGAGAGTGGGTGCGCCCGATTACAGGGACCATTCAAGGTATAGTGATCTGTTAACACCTCTGCAGTCAAAGGATTGAAAGAGGGGGTGAGTAGATTACAAATTATTGTAACAATTGTCTCTCAAATAGTTTCAGTTTTGACAAATGGAAAATGTTCCGATGAAATAATTTTTCACTGGAAAATTCCTGACTAGTTCTAATCATAACTGTACTTATAGATAACTGATAAAACATCAGTTTTACTTCTACAACCCCCGTGAACATTGATTACACTTGTTTTTTGTTGTTTATGTGTTTTTTACAATTTGTATATGTGATATCAGTTACTATGCCAGACAATGAAGGGTAATGTATTATCTCTGTGACATGTTAATGTAACTGTGGAATGTACCATGTCACATTTGATATGCAGATTGCATGGTTTTGAGATTTCTATATCATAATGCTTTATTTTCAGCAATGTGTATAATAAACGGAACAATATCAAGTAAAACCCCCATGAAACTGGATCAAACCAAAGAGATAGAGCAGTGCATGAAATTCTGTCCCCCATTTCCACTTCCAGTTTCCATTTGCATAGTCATCTCAGACCTAAGGACTACTCTGTGCATAAGAGAGTTCCCTTGGTCATTTTACGTAGCATAGTGACAACTAAACAAAATTAGCTAAATATAAAATTGGCAAAAAATAACAATGCCAGCATCCGTCAGCAGCCCTGCAGTAAACACACACCAGCCCCACGAGCAGCCCTGCTATAACATGTGCGCAACAGAGGAAATAAACTAAGGAAATAGATTTCAGGTCCAAACTTTATAGGTCCTTATTGTAAATAGCCAGTGAAACATTTATTTTAAAAATTATGAAAAAATACCTTGTCAGTATGCTCTTAAGTCAGCTAGAATATTTCTTCCCCTATATAGCATAGTTATCCATTTTGTTATGGCTTTCCTACCTAAGATCCTATAAGAAATATCCCCAGTTGTTCAATAAATAATAATGTTATAGAATTTAAAATAAGAAACTGGATTATTAAAGTTACAAATCTTTGTGGTCTTTATATGTTTAATAAAACATATATCTATTAATAATAGATACTGTTTCTACCCTACTCATGCTTTAAATGAAAAAAAAAATGACCAGTGGAAAGTCACCAATATTTCTTTATCCTCCCAAGCCAAGGCTGACAAAAATGCCGTTACGTTGACAAATGGTTCATCATTTACAAAGGTTTAAAATTTTTAACAGTTCTACGTAAATTGAAGACTCAGTGTTTAGCCTCGAAGGCATGCAACAGGAAAAAGTAATCCGGAGCGTCCGTGGAGATAAATGTTATAACTCCATAGCCCTTTGCGCATAGTTAATGGAACAGTTTGGCTCATACAAAACACAATGCACACATCAATACAGCATTAAACTTTAATGTACACCATACCAGGAGACCTCCGGGCAGTTGTACCTTTAATGTTTGTTAGCTGAAGTGATCCTAATGGAATAATAATGTATTATGAAGAGAGTGACAATTTCTAAATGGTAGAATAAAAAAAAGTAGATGTAAAAAAAATACTCAGGAAAGTTATGAGAATGAAGCTGCCAGAAAAATTCACAGCATTATTCCTGTGAGATATGGAAAGCATACAGATCCCGCCAAAGCTGTGGCAACTGTTTGTTGATCTTGCTGGGCCAAATTTTCAGCAGGCCTCTGTTTTCACACATACCAGCTTGGCAAAAGCATTGTACTGAACACAGAAAATCCCATATTTATGACCACAAATAAGCAATTGCATGTGCCACTTGGGCTAAGTCCTGATTGCCCCAGTCTTAGTTTTTGCTCATTAGTTAATCAGGCAATACTCCTATTGACTTCAATGAGAATTTTGCCTAAGTAAGGACTTCAGCATTTGGCCAGTGTAATTATCACCACAAAGAGGTATTTTGGGAACACTTGCTCACTTTGCCTGTGCAAACATTAGGTTTGGCATATTCATACTGATGCATTTGCAAATATCGAGTGTGCCATTAATAATAAATACTAGGGGTAGTCAATAGGCAGACCGGGGGCCAAATCCAGACCGTCAGATGCTTTTGAATGGACCCCGAAATCTTTTTTTTTACTTATTATTGTTGTTATTTTTTATTATTTTCTCTGGACTCTGGACATTGACTATACCTTGACCAAGAAATTTGGACCTTGAAAAAAAAAACCTGACTATCCCATACTACCACTTAGCACTTATATACCATAGAACTCTTCATTCACAGAACTCACCATAAGCAGCTCCATTGCCCCCATTGGTGGGGTAGCTTGAGGCACACACTTGTCAAGTGACTTGCACAAGGCAATGAAATAAGTCAGTGTGGGAGTCAGGAATTGGACCAAGATGTCCTGACTCCCAGTCCAATGCCTTGTCCATTGGACCATGTTTAAGGCCCAATGAAAATGTAGTGCATAGATTAAATTGTAAAATAATTATTACTTTACATGAATCTAACTGTAATAAGTATTAGTTTTAACTCAGAGAATGCAGTGGTACTTTACTAAAGTCTGCTGTGTGAAGATATAGTACTGTAGTGAAGTGGACTTACTGGGAAGATGCATTGCAGCTTCAGGTTCTTCATCCATCATCCTGAAATCCCATTCTTTATGGGCATGTAGATGTGATGGTTAATGATCCCTCTTCTGGAGCTTTCTTATGACAAAAGTCACCACCTACACAGACCCACTGACAGGGCCGGCTCTAGGATTTTTGCCGCCCCAAGCGAAAGCAATTTTGGCCGCCCTTCCCCCCCGTTTTTTC